GTACACATGAGATAACCAGAAACACACTGTGCAACTGAAGAACTCTCACGTGCATGCACGAGGCAAAACTATAATAGAATCTTTTGACTGTTTTCATATGGGCCAGTGATATCAGTTTATTTGCTTGATAACACTTAATGCTTGATGACACACTTTGCCTTAGTGTGAGCCTTGAACTGTAAAAGCCATAGCGGTACAGGGGACAGCCCACCCATGCGTGATTAGTTGCTTTTCAAAAGGACTTTTCAATTATGGTTTATTCACATCATTACTGTTTCCTGAAGGGGTCCCGGAGGACCATAAGGATCCTGACAGTTAAAGTAATGTGTGTGTATTCAATCAGATGCATCGCTACCTTCAGTTTAACACAAAAATGCCTGGAACCTTCAGAAAAGTACACTTGTGGGAAAGAAAATGCTTTGTCATTTTGTTTTCTCCTGGACTCCTCTGGGCCAGTGACTGGTTTCACATTTTTAATGCTAACGCTGCCAGTTTCCTGGAGTTCTTATCCTTAGCCGGGGGCCGAACACACACAGCATGCCTAATATCACCTCACAGACTTCAGCTGACAAGTCATCTAGAACTTTCCCAAGGCAGACTCCTCCGTAAGACAGACGGTTCAAAGAACTCTGTCTGCTAGAATATTAATATAAAACAAACACAAATTCATCATAGCCATAACAGATATGCAAGATACAATGTGACACCAAATAACTAAAAGGGAGTCAAAAAATGGACCTATGCATCACGCAGTCATATAAATTAAAGCGTATCTAAACCTAATAGCAAAAATGTAATCTATTGCAGCTTACCAGTCCTTAGGTGTGACAGCTGCATTAGTTTTCTTTTTAGACCTTTTTCCTTTATGTTCACCTGGTTATCGAGCCAGTAAGTTTGTTATTTTTCAACTTCCTTTAACAGACCAAGCTGTCCAGCAAAATTGACAGTTAGAGGGTTGAAACAAATCATTTACCACTGACAGGGGTGCTTATAGTGGCAAGCTTTTATTAAAGTGACATGCACTATCTCTTTTGCAATAAAATGCCCCTACCTGCCTGCTCACTGTCCTCTTCGGTACTGCAAACTGAGCTGTGCATGTACAGCTCAGCTTACAGTGCCAGGCCGGTCTCTGAGTGCAAAGATGACTAGGCCCTCTGCATGGAGGAGTGATGTCACCCCCCGCTGGCCAATGAAGGAACCTGAAGACCGGCACACAGACGAAGATAACGGTGCCAGTGAGGGACTGTTGGACAAGTATTCCCCCTTTAGTTCTGCTTTAATTCCAAAAGGAAACAAAATAGCTGTTGCTGTAAGTGATAGCTGAAGTTCATATTTAATTTGTCAGTCAAACCAATCTAAATCTGCTAGCCTCTCCACAGATTGGCAATATTGCTGTCCAAAGGTGTCTTCGTTGCTCCTCCATCCAGAGTGGAGACACCCTAACACAGGGAGTGTGTTTCTGGCCAGATTACCAGGTTAAAAATAAAGAGAAAAAGGAAACCTAATGCAGCCACCACATCTAAGGACTGGAATCTGAAATGCATATTTTGTTGGGGGGGAGGGGGGTTAGATATGTTTCAATTAAACTGATCCTTTAGAAAATGTAAAGATAAATAAATGGGAACAGCTTTTTCTGAGGCATGGATTGTTTATTGGGAAGAATTAAAGGAAAACTATTACAAGTACAAGTGCATGGCTGTACAGAAGTCACTTGCCCAGTGGTCTTTCTTAGGGGTTATGGATGAGGTTCGGGTTTGCTGCTATCATGGATTTGATACAAATCCTGTAGGTTTCAGATGTGCAGTCTTAGTGAGTTTTTGTGTTGATTCGCCGAGGAGATTTTTAAAACATAATGCACTGACCTAGGCTTAACAAAGGGGGTCTACCTGACAAAATGCATCGTCATCCAACCATTACTATGCTGACCTGCTATTGGGAAGAATTCTTTCTACCTCTGAATGCTGCACTCTGCAGTTTGGTTGGGTGGGTCCACCAAGTCAATGACAGCTTCTAGGACTGTCTTAGGCTCCTAAAAGCAAAATTAAGTCAGCATCATCATGTGTAAGCTCTAAAATCTTCTTTATTGTGATGCACAAAAGATAAAAAAACCCACACACCGGGAATGTTGATGCATTTCAACATGGGTGGGCTTTAGTTATGAGTAAACTAGTTATGAATCTCTGTGGCTCAATTTTTATCTCCTGTGGATCGCAATAAAGAAGACTTTAGAGTTTATAAACAGTAATGCTTTTTTTCATTTTGCATTTGGAAGTTTCCTTGTCAGTTTGGAGAGACTGTAGTCTGGGCACACATGTGGCTGTTCTATATGTTCTATGGTATTTAGGTTGTAGCACCACATCTTTTTTTCTGTTCTAAGCTCCTACCCGCACAGCTAGCTATGGTTGGAGGGACCCTCTGGACTGGACACTGGTGCACTACCATGGTCCACAGATAAGCTACTTACATACTTTCTTTTGTGAGTGTTTTAGACTACGTTCACATGGGCAACTAGGGCAGGTGCGAATGACAGCGGCAGGAACTGCTGATTTCTGCATCTGTTTCAGGCACCTGTGAGTACCTGTACACTCTAATGACAGGTAAAAGGTGGCCACAGCTCTCTGTGGCTGACCACCCAACTTAAACTGCGATGATTGCGGCTGGACACACTTTGTGTGCTTCCAGCAGCAATCACTGCAGGTAATCAATGGCAGGATAGACAGCCATGCATAGCTGAAGCCACTGCTGATCTGTCATTGAAGTGTACAGGGATCGGTGGCCACAGTTAGCTGCTCAGAGGTAGCTAAAACAGCTGCAAGAATCAGGCTTCAGGTGTTTTGTTTTAGTCAATGGAAAGCACTAAGGAAAGGGGAGGGGAGAGACCAGTTCTTGGAGGCTCATAAATATGTTTAAAAATGCTACAGTCCCAGATTTTTATGTGCAAATTCCGTTCCTCAAAACTAATTGTGCTTGGTGACATTCGTGCTCCATACAAACTTTCTGATGTGCTCCACCACAGTGAACCAACACCTCTCAATGCTGCCACTTACCTCAAGGTTTGACCCACACAAACGTAAGGTTAAACACACTTTCCCAACACTCTGGGTATAGTAAATGGCAATATTCCTCCGATCAACTTGTAACAGGTAAGTATCAAGATAAGACAACAGGACTCAACTCAATGTAAAATATAAAGCAAAAAGGACCTCATGGTGCAGTATCAGAGTAACTAATTTGCTTTTATTAAAAGAGATTAAGAACACTCACAAAAGCATTTGTCAGGAATGGACTGACCAGCAATAGTGGGACTCACCTGCCTTATGAGCTGCAGTACCAGGGCTGGCCAGCGGGTGCTCCCAGCAATCAGAGACTCAACCTTGCAGCCAGTCAAACACCTGGAACTAATTATACTGGTGTATTTAAGGGACATTCAGACCTGCAGACTCTGCCTTGGTGTGTGTTTTTTCCTGGGCCCTGTATCTTGTAGACCTGCGTTCCTGTTCCTGTTCCTGTCTTGTTGCTGACCCTGCTTGATTCTGACCTCTGCTGACTTCTCCTGTTCTGATCCCTGGCTTGTGACCCTGACCATCCCTCTGCCTGACCCTCTGTACCACGCTGCCCGCTACCTGCTGAACCTGGCCTGTGACCCCGACCATTCTCCGCTTGCTCCCCCTGTACCTACCTGCCCAATTGATATTGACCGGCCTGCCTGACGACGCTTGCATTGTATGTACTGTCATCTGTGGGTGGTTTGGTTTGTTTGCACTGTGTTATGTTTTAGTATTGCACTGCGTTTATGTTTGTATTGTTAGTGTTAATAAATTATATTGTTTATAACATATCTGAAGTCTGCGTTTCCCTGCGTCAGTCACATACCTCTGGTCATACCCGGAGCCCTGACATTACACCAAGGCCAATCCTGACCAGAAGTGGCTGCACAGGGAAGCCATCTTGGTTTGTTGATGGGAAGGATGGGATCTGGATGAGGTTGTGTATTTATATCTGCTAGTGTATTGATGACAGAGAGTATGCTTATCAAACTCTGAAGGAGTATCCCCGGGATGAACTGCTAGAACGTATACGGATCGCGCTCATGTTCTAGTAGATCAGGGCACAGAATTCTCTGAGGTGCAGCCATTGATGCAGGTTTGTGCGGAGTTGGTTTCATCTGGTACCCCCGAATGCAGGGATGAATTTTGCCGCCATTTAGTGCTGACCAGGTAGAGTCCCTGGTGTGGTTATTAGAGGATGATGTGGATTGCTTCTTGGAGCATTATGCTGCATGTTCACCACAGGTTATTAAGGGATTGTATAAACGCAGTGCAGTCTTTGGTCAGACAGGCTTTGTGTAAGCTCAGCTTTGTTCAACCCATACTGCAGACATGGACAGATTTGTTGCACCCAGCCTCAGTCAGCTTACAAAAACCCAGTCCTGCTTCTTAATTCTATTTCCTCAAAGCTCTATTCCCTGCATTCCCAACAGCTCTTCCTGCCCTGCTATCTACCTCATGTCAGTACCATGTACCCCTGTTCCCACTCGCTGCACCTATCCTGCCTTTAACCCTGTAAAAAAAGCCCTCTGTAGCAACTGCTCCCTCCTCTGTTCCATCCTCCAGCTCTTCTCTGTCTCCAGCTGCTCCATCTGTTTACAAACCTGCGTTTACTTGCAGTGCTCCAGTAGTTAAAACCAGAAAAAAGCGAAAATTCTTTCCAACCAGTACCATCCTGCCAGTATCCAAACCGGTGAGCCTGCCGTCTGAGAATCTGCCTTCCGTGGTTTCAGCCTGATGCCTCTCTTCGGCCTGATGCCTCTCTCTTCGGCCTGAAGCCTCTACTCGGCCTGAAGCCTCTACTCGGCCTGAAGCCTCTCTTCGGCCTGAAGCCTCTGCTCGGCCTGAAGCCTCTGCTCGGCCGGAAGCCTCTATTCAGCCGGATGCCTCTACTCAGCCGGATGCCTCTACACCCAGCATAATGAACTGATCCAGCCTGATGATCCTATTAGGCCAGTTGACTCGATGCCCGCTGTTGATCCAGATGATCCGGTACCTGATCCGGTGCCCGCTGTCGTGCCAATTTGACTCAGAGCCCGCTGTCGTACCTGGTGACCCGGTGCCCACTGCCTTGCCAGATGACGCGGTGCCCGCTGGCGAGCCAAATGATCTGATGCCTGGTGACCCAGTGCCCTCTGTCATACCTGGTGACCCGATGCCCACAGTCTTACCACACCAGACGACTCGGTGCCCGCAGTCTTGCCAGACGACTCGGTGCCCGCAGTCTTGCCAGACGACTCGGTGCCCGATGTTCCACCAGTGGACTCGATGCCCGCTGTTCCGCCAGACACGACTCAGTGCCCGCAGTCTTGCCAGACGACTCAGTGCCCGCAGTCCTTGCCAGACGACTCGGTGCGGGTGCCCCCGCAGTCTTGCCAGACGACTCGGTGCCCGCAGTCTTGCCAGACGACTCGAAGCCCGCTGTTTCGCCAGTTGGCTCGGTGCCCGCAGTCTTGCCAGTTGACTCGGAGCCCACTGTCGTGCCTGGTGACTCGGTGCCCGCCGCTCCTCCGCCTGGGGGCCCGAGACCTGTCGCTCCGCCTGGGGGTCCGGCGCCCGCCGCTTCGCCTGGGGGTCCGGCGCCCGCCACTCCGCCTGGGGGCCCGAGACCTGTCGCTCCGCCTGGGGGTCCGGCGCCCGCTGCCTTGCTCCGCCTGGGGGCCCGAGACCTGTCGCTCCGCCTGGGGGTCCGGCGCGCCGCCGCTCCGCCTGGGGGCCCGATGCCTGTCGCCCCGCCTGGGGGCCCGATGCCTTTCGCCCCGCCTAGGGGCTAGATGCCTGTCGCCGCCCCGCCTGGGGGCCCGATGCCTGTCGTCCCTCCTGGGGGGCCCAGCGCGCCCGGCCGCTCCGCTTGGGGGCCCGATGCCTGTCGCCCCGCCGGGGGGCCCGGTGCCTGTCGCCCCGCCTGGGGGCCTGATGCCTGTCGCCCCGCCTGGGGGCCCGGTGCCTCTGCCCGGAGTTCAGCCCGATGTGCCTCTGCCCGGAGTCCCAGCCCGATGTGCCTCTGCCCGGAGTCCAGCCCGATGTGCCTCTGCCCGGAGTCCAGCCCGATGTGCCTCTGCCCGGAGTGCCTGCCTGCCCGGTGTGGTCTCCTGCTGCCCGGAGTGCCTCTGCCCGGAGTCCAGCCCGATGTGCCTCTGCCCGGAGTCCAGCCCGATGTGCCTCTGCCCGGAGTCCAGCCCGATGTGCCTCTGCCCGGAGTCCAGCCCGATGTGCCTCTGCCCGGAGTCCAGCCGATGTGCCTCTGCCCGGAGTCCAGCCCGATGTGCCTCTGCCCGGAGTCCAGCCCGATGTGCCTCTGCCCGGAGTGCCTCTGCCCGGTGTGTCGCTGCCCGGAGTGCCTCTGCCCGGAGTCCAGCCCGATGTGCCTCTGCCCGGAGTCCAGCCCGATGTGCCTCTGCCCGGAGTCCAGCCCGATGTGCCTCTGCCCGGAGTCCAGCCCGATGTGCCTCTGCCCGGTGTGCCTCTGCCCGGTATGTGCCCCTGCCCGGTGTGCCGCTGCCCGGAGTCCCTGCCCGGTGTTGTGCCGCTGCCCGGAGTCCTGCCCGGGGTGCCAGTCTGATATCCCGCCAGTTACCAGACCCGGGCGGTGGAACATTTTGCCCAGCTAGGACTGTTTGGAGCGTCCTGAGGCCGCTCCTTGAGGGGGGGGGGGGGGGTACTGTCAGGAATGGACTGGCCAGCAATAGTGGGACTCACCTGCCTTATGAGCTGCAGTACCCAGTGCTTCCAGCAATCAGAGACTCAACCTTGCAGCAGTCAAACACCTGGAACTAATTATACTGGTGTATTTAAGGGACATTCAGACCTGCAGACTCTGCCTTGGTGTGTGTTTTTCCTGGGCCCTGTATCTTGTAAACCTGCGTTCCTGTTCCTGTCTTGTTGCTGACCCTGCTTGATTCTGACCTCTGCTGACTACCACGCTGCCCGCTACCTGCTGAACCTGGCCTGTGACCCCGACCATTCTCCGCTTGCTCCCCCTGTACCTACCTGCCCGACTGATATTGACCCGGCCTGCCTGACGACGCTTGCATTGTATGTACTGTTATCTGTGGGTGGTTGGTTGGTTTGTTTGCACTGTGTTATGTTTTAGTATTGCACTGCGTTTATGTTTGTATTGTTAGTGTTAATAAATTATATTGTTTATAACATATCTGAAGTCTGCGTTTCCCTGCGTCAGTCACATACCTCTGGTCATACCCAGAGCCCTGACAGCATTGCACTTGTAACATCCAGGCTACCTGATAGACTGCTTGTTTAAAGTCCAACAATAACATTGCCCCCTTAAGGATGAATATCCCTGGAGTAATGTCTAAGATGGCCGAACTCAAACTTCCATGCGTGATGACGTCAGGTGGCCCTGCCTTCTGAAACATTTTTGCACATGATCAGGGACTTCCCCATAGGACTTTGTTTTATAATTTACATTGATTCGATTGGAGTCCTTCGGGTTATACATTTATTGCATATCGACTTATATATTTTTTGCATATTTGTATTGAGTTGCACACATAATTTTAGTTGCGCTGCAATTTTTTATATTGATTACTAGAAAGCAATATACTTTGTTCATATTTCATGTCTGAAGTTTACAACCACTTTAGGGGTTTTTTTGATTTGTGAGGAAGCATGCCTGCAGAAAACAGAGAAACAGGCAGCTAACGAAGCAATGAGAATGGTAAATAAAACATAAAACAAATCTATGAATATAGTTCATATAAAATCAAGGGGGAGGGTAATAGGTTAAACTATATTTTATTTGTTCTAAACAGTAGCTATCTGGCCACAGTCACTTTTTACACCCTTGTTCTAAGTCTATTCTAAGTTTTGCCCCCCCAACTATTGTAGGTTGTACCACATTTGAAGTAAGTTTGTTCATCTAAACCAAAGCTGCATCAGAGAAATAATTTACCCAAAAAAAGTTGTTGCAAAGTTTACATACAAAGTTTTTTTTTCTGCATCAGATTTTTTCATCAGCTTGGGTCACTAGCAAAGAACCAACCCAAAAAATGCGTATTTTGTTCAAATAAAATAAAAATGTTCTTAAAAAATACAATTTGCCTATCTGCATTTCTGGTTACTGCAAATTCTGTACAAAGATTTCTCTGTGCTGAAATGTTTCCAACATGAGTCTCTGCCTTCTTGCAGTTCAATTTATGACAGATTTCAACATAATGGCTCTGATTTATTTGTGCTAGAAACCAGATTGTGACTTTGATGTAACAGAAATAGAAGGTGTGCGTTTCACTGGCTTATTACTCCAGCATTGACTGGTACAATTACCACCTCTGCCCTGATCGACTATGCCCAGACTGCGGCTTACAGCTAGTAAATATGACCCATTTCTTGTGATGTGTGACTGTGGTATAACACATAGATCTATAGCAGTGACAACACACATTATTTGTTACCCATTTAAATACAAATAAATGCATTTTCTCTGGTTCTGTACAGGAAAACCAAGGATTTAACAGTTCAGGAAAAAATACCAATACAAGTGAGAAGCCTGTAGATCAAGGAGAACAGGACAAGAAGAAGGAGGAAAAGGTTCCTTCCAAGCAAGCAACAAATGTTCAGCAAGATAAGGAAAAGACAGATAGAGTGGACACCAAAGACAAGTCCTACATTATAAAGATGTCACCTTCAGCCAAGGCTGGAGAAGGAGAACTGCTTACTGTGGAAATCAGAGACACTGTGAAGAAAAAGTAAATTAGAGTAAATTACACCCCATTTTAATGTTTATTTATTATAGGTACTTATATTGTACATTCAGATCAGTCCCTAACCCTCAAGGAGCTTATGATCTCAGGTCCCTAACTCACATTCATACATACACATACTAGGGCCAATTTAGACAGGAGCCAATTAACCTACCAGCATGTCTTTGGAGTGGTAGAAGAAACCAGAGTACCTGGAGGAAAGCCATGCAGGCACAGGAAGAACATGAAAACTTCAGGCAGCATATAAATGATCAAATACTTTTATTTATTGTTTTTATAGATTACCTATAAGTGTTTCCAGTCGCCTCTTGAATCCACCCTTAAAGACTCACATTATTAAAGGATAAGTTCACCTTTAATGAAAAAATAATAAATGCACATATTTTTTCAGGTATAAAAATGTGCATTTTTATTATTTTTTCCTCCAGGAGCCTGAAAAGCATTGCGCTCATTATCAGTGGATCGTGGGTGCAATGTCAGGCTCCTGCAGACAAGTCTTCGAGCTTCCTACCCATACCTCTGTACAGGCTTTCTGTTAGAAAGCTAGAGGATTTGTGAATGGACTTCAAGTGTGCTTGTAAGCAGGTTAAAATTAGCTAGATAGATACTGCTCCAGACAGGAGGGTAGGGGTTAATGCCTTTCCCACTTCTTTGGCTTTTGGTGGGATCCTTGGGTCCAACCCACTTCTCCTGTGGCTATAAACAAGGACAATGGGGCCCAGTCCAAGGACCTTCTCTTGCCTTTTTCCCTGTGCCACCCAATAGGTGTTTGAGAGAACTACAGCTGCTCTATCCATAGTGTTCTGTGAGGGATCCAGCCTATGAGGAGACCAACTTAGGGCTTGCCCTGAAGATTCAAGCCACTGGAGGATGCCAATATTGGACCATGCTTTACATGGACTCTACATCTGCAGCAGGTAGGCCAGGGCCAGGGGGCGGACTGACCATTCGAGAACTCGGGCACTGCCCGAGGGCCCAGGGTCAGTAGGGGGCCCCATGAAATGCGCCTGGTACCTTTTTTATAGGCTGTTTTTGAGTGTGGGCAAGGACACAGGGGCCCCATGATCCCCTATTGCCCGGGGGCCCCATTAGTTGTCAGTCTGCCCCTGGCCAGGGCAGCGCATATTCTGGTTAGAAGTAGGGACTTAAGGATATTGATTTTTTTATTGAAGTTCTGCTGGATTGTCTTGTCTGCTTTGGAATCTATTGCAATGTTGCACTTTAACTGAAGCATTAAACTTTGCTTCTGCCTGCCTACCTTTTTTGAAAAGGGTGCACTGCAAGTAACCAGCACTATTTCACACTTAGTCTACAGCTTGGGTCACTAGCACATGGGGTTTCAAAAGTTAACATATTAGGAGTCAACTTAATACAAGTTACACATGTGGTTGCCATGAGCAATGGAAGGTACAGTCAGCAAGCAGTCTGTCATAACCATGTACCTGTTATAGGCGAAAAAGCCTCTAGCTAGGAGGGAAGTGTTGTCAGGGCTCCCTAAGCCGCATTCTGTCCCCCATAGCAACCGGAGCGGAACTGCACTGCAGATGTCCCCATCCTCTACAGAAGTATGGAAGTTCAAGAGTTAAAGTCAAGTGCACGTTGGAGCCAGCACTATGTGCGCTATAGGGGTTCCATGCTGCTACTGGAACTGGTAGTGGAAACATTAGGCAGGTGGCT